CTAAGTTGTATAATTCATCCCTTTTTATTGCTGAATAATAGTTTGTTGAGTGAGTGCATGAGTTTATCCATTAACCTATTAAAGGACACTTGGGTTGTTTCTGGTTTCAAGTGATTCTGAACAAAGTCACCCTTAACAGGAATCCTTGATGCAATAGATAAAATCCTCAAACAACACCCTTTATATCATTATGTAAGAATATCCACAGAGCCAAGTCCAAGGCAGGCCAAAAGGTTAAGATCAAAGTGTATTTCAACAGATGTGATTCTCTGAGAGACCCACAGTGTTGAACTTTACTCAAGCCCTATGATTCAGCAAAACTCTAGTGGTTATAGAAATTCCACTATGACCTTTCTGTTCTGGAAACGGCCCACTGAGAGAACCCATCCTTCCCTGTCTGACTTTGAGAGGACTCCAGATGTCCTGTACCAAGGACAGGCTAAACAGGAACACTTTGCCTTATAAATGATGTATTGACCTGCTAGTCCTCAATGGTAGAGGAGAAGAAATCTACTTATTAACCAGACTTTGGTCAATTTTCTCTCCTTCTCCCTGGCTGAGTCAGCATACAACCTCTCTCTAACAGCCCCTGCCAAGAATAGGTTCAACTTCAACTGGAGGTAAAACATCCTCTGATACTGTTCACACTGCCATCCTAACCCTCATACATGGTTAACTGAGCTGCTCATCCTCGCTGATCCATCCAGAACAAAGTGTTTGTTATCCAACTTGACCTAAGTTCAGTTCAGCTAAACTTTGACCCACCCTCTCCCTGAACCAGCACTGACTTGCACAAATTCTTAATTTGAAGAGGCCTATCCATAAATGTGTATATTCCTTTCTGTATACGAAATGACCCTTTCTTCCTCACCTTTCAGACATTATACAGATGTCCTGTTCTGAGACATCTTATAGGAATGGTCTCCCTCTCCCTGTTATAATTGTTCCTTGCTCCTTCTTTCAATAATCCTTTAAATGAAACTTCTCCTTTTCCAAATCTGGAGTTGGTTTTTCTTTAAAAATATTTTGGAAGCGCTTTGTTAGAATTAAATTTGGCTGTGTGACTAGCCTGGAAATATGAGTATTAATCCATTTGTTCATTCAATAAATCTTTTTTTCCTACAAATAATTTTTTCTCTTTTCATTTTTTTAATTTAAAATTTTTCTAATTCATCTGGATTGGGAACTCACTGGAGTGGTTTTGTAAGTCCGCTCAGCTCACAGTGACATTTCCTGGATTTCCTTTTGTCCATGTTCCTGTTGGGGAGGGTTACAAAATTTTTATGGGAGGTTTGGAGGGAGAATTAAAGTAACAGTCATTTTTGTAGCTCACCTCTTGACACAGGGCAGTACTTGAGCTGGCTTCACTCTCCCCCAGATCTACCATTCACTTCTCTGTTATCCTGGTCAAGTTCATTTCATATTCAGTTACAAGGCCACCCCTACTACAAGAGCAGAACAACAAAAACTGGCAGTTTTCCTCTGTCCTGGGCAGCTCTTTCTGTGCCCTCTCCCATTTTAAATCCCACTCCCTCCCAACGGCTTCCCCATGTGTACTTCAATCTCCAACACCAGACAGGGAGAAATTGTTTAAGTAGCACACACAATTCCATGATATCAAACCCATTTTTATTATTTCTGCTCTCTGTTTTGATTCTAACAAACTTACCTTGGTCAATTCTTTGGGCAATCGTGAGCTTACACTAAACTTTAGTAGATATAAAAGCTCATGATTTAATCATGGAAATAAAGCCTGTATATAACTAAAAAATAGCACCTAGAAAGAACTAAATTATTTTATTTATGTGCAAAACAGTGGTATAGATTTCATATGATTTTGAAGTTTCCTTTCTGATGTAGCCATTTCAATGACTTAAAATATTTTGATAGATTAAAATGTTATTATTCTTTTGTTTTTTAACCAAGTGATAGTTAAAAGAGATTCACTCGCCCTTTCCCTATCTTTAAACCTAAGCACACACAGGCGCTGTGTCTGAGAGAGCGTGCTGCACTCCTCCCCAGTGGCTGTCCACGGGTGGGTGTATCCATACCACCAATGGGACTGAGGGTGAGTATCACAGGCTCAACCAGTAATGCCTCCCCACATGGCCATCTGCTCATGGGTGATGCATCACACCCACTTGGGCTTCTGGAGCCCTCACTCTTTCTTGATGGCATCGAATTCTCCAATCTTACTGCCACTGCACTGCACCCAAATCCAACAGCTACAGCTGAGGAAAAGCATAGGGAGACCATACCATGGAATTCACCCGAGGCAGAGCCCATGAGCCTTCCAAACTGACAGACACCCTAAGACACATCTTCAGGAGAAAGCCTGCTACCAAGGTCACTGTATAAAACTGGTAAAGACAGATATTCTGCCACATGTGCACGTATCAATATAAGGGCACAAAAGTATTTTTAAAAGCAAGGTGACATGATGCCTTCCAAGGAATATGATAGCTCTCCATGCACAGCCCCAAAGGAAAGGACAAGGGTGAAGTGTCCAATAAAGGATTCAAAAGAAAGACTTTAAGGAAATTCAATGACATACAAGAGAATACAGAGGAAATGCGACCAAACTAGGAAAGCAATTCATGATCTGAATAGGAAATTTAAGAGAGACTGAGGTCATGAAAAAGGATCAAACAAAACCTTGAAAATGAGGAACTCAATAAATCAAATTTAATATGCAGTTGAGAACTTCAACACTGGGTTAGATCAAGCAGAAGAAAGAATTTCTAAACTTGAAGATGGAAATATCATGGTCAGGCCAAAAAGGGGGAAAAAGGGACCAAAAAAAGAAGGAAAGAAAGAAAAGAAAAGAGATTTCAAGATGGAGAATGGCATTAAACGCAAATATTTAAAATTTTCAGATCTTGGAAGGCAAGGAGAAAGGGGAAAGCATGTTTTCTCATATGTGACTTGATCTTTATACATTGTATACACATGTAGAATTATCATAGTGTTTCCTGTAATGTACAATTAAAATTATAATTTTAAAAATTCCTAGTTGTCTTTTCTTTTTTGAGTTTGAGAATTCCAATTCACATTTTTTAAAAACCTTTATATTTGATTGACACATAATAATTGTACACTTTTTATGGTGTAAAATGTAATGTTGCAGTAATGTGTAATGCTCAGATCAGTATAGTTAGCATATCTATCACTTTAAACACTGATCATTTCTTTGTGGCAAAATGCTCATCTAGCTTTTTTTTTTTTTTAAATGGGCTATATTGCTGTTACTTATAGTCGCCCTACTGTGCACTAGAAACTAGAACTTACTCCTCTTATCTAACTATAGATAAGACTTGTTTGCCAGTCACCCCCAGCCTGTCCTTTGCCCCATGCTTCCAAAGCCCCTGGAGCCACTCTCGTCTCAACTTCTGTGGAATTAACTGTCTGCTATATGACAGGCGAGCAAATCTCGCAGTATTTTCTGTGTCTAACTCATTTCACTTACCATCATGGTCCCAGGTTCATCTATGTCACAAAGGAAGGATTTCCTTCCATTTTGTGGCATAATAGGATACCATCATGTATAAACAACATATTTCCTTTATCCATTCATCTGTTGAGGGACACATAGGTTATTCCCTGTTTTGGCTGGTGTGAGTATTGATACAGAAAACATGGGAGTACGGATGTCTCCTTAGCATACTGATGGATTATTTTTTCTTTATCTCCTGTAGTGGGATTCTTAAACCATGTGGTAGTTCTATTTGTAGTTTTCTGAGGACTTATTCATACTGTTTTCCATAATGGCTGTGCTAAGCTACATTCCTGCCATCAGTACACAAAGGCCAACCTTTCTTCACTTCCTCTCAAGAACTTGTTATCTTTTGTCTTTTTGCACAAAGCCATTTTAACAGGAGTAAGGTGGTATCTCACTGTGATTTTGGATTTTCCCTGATAGCTAGTTATGTTGAGCATATTTTATGCACCTATTGATCATTTCTCTTCTCATGAGAAGTTTGTACTTAATATCTTTACCCTCGTTTTAAATTGGGTTGTTTTCTCGCTATTGAATTAAATTATTAAAGTATACTTTCAGCCCTATGTATCTGTGGGTTCCATATCAACAGATTGAAAAAATTGGATCAAAAATATTTGAAAAAATGTCAAAGATGGCATACAAGGAGCACCCAGGATTCACTGGCATCTCTACAAGAAAGACCTAAAACAGATGAAATGTAGCTGCTCATTGAGATGAGTGACCATGGGAGAAGGTTGGGGTTCAATGGTGGAGAGAGAGAGACTTTGGACAAACCCAGAGATGTGAATAATGGAACAGAGAGGGATAGAGAATGCCTGTTAAGAAATGCCTCCATCTCAACCAGCTTGGCAAGAATAATTTAAGGCTCCCTAACATCAATTTTGCTATAATATCAGTGGCATTATCCTCTGTGTTGATTGGATAGGTTACCACCATCGTTTGAGATCACATTCCAATTACATGTATTTCTTTTAAGGTTTCAATGCCTCAAATGAATTTATTGTTTCTATATTTTTTCTTCTTGCTTATTTTTATACCCTTCCCTCTTATGTGTTTCATTCTCCTTGAATTTTATGCTTCTGCTTCTACAATAGGAAAATGTGGTGAGGACTACGAAGAATAATGCAGGAATTAAGGAGAGACCAAAATGTAGTGAGTGGAACTTCTACACAGTGGGAAGAGCAAGCCCAAGTACCCTGAGGTGAGCATGCCAGGGGTGGTGGAGAAATATCAAGAAGATCTGTAAATGACCTGGGGACAAAGACTGGGAGTGACAGGCATTGATGTGACTCCACTGAATTAAGAGTTAATGAGCAGCATCCCAAAGCACTTACAGGAGAGAAAAAGACCTAACATCATCAATACCTCAGAGCATTTATAAAACAATGTGGATGTTGGGAGTCATATTATAAATTTTAAATACTTGTATTTTTTCTACTTTTATTTTACAATCTGAATATTTTATGCCTTTGAAAAGTGTAATGCAAAACTATAGGTTCTATAAGATGACTCAGAAATATTAATTCATTTAAGATATTTCAGCTCTGTGTCTCTCAATAAAATATAAGATGAGCACATATTTACATTTAAACAGTTACTCAACTAATCAAGAAAGTAACATTAGTCATAAGTTGATATTTTAATATCCCAACTATTTAAATTATTTGAAGTAAACACTAGCAACCAGTTACCTCTAGATAACATTCCACTCTCATGTGTATGTGCCAAGATGAGTTGCATGAGGCACTTGTGTTATTGGCTTGTTTTGCCCTGTTTTATATGTATTTTAGTAGAGGAATGTGACAGAGGAGATGAATATGGAAAGTAAATAAGTCCCCTCTCCTTAATCATCATTTTAACAAGCAGAACAAAATCATTGTATATTTCCTTTTAGCCAACCTCATTCAGGTATTATATTTCCAACATTTGTTTCCTTTTTCTTAAAAACAAAGGTTTGAGAGTGAAGGGTGCCAGATCTGGAATTGAACATGAGTGTGGGTCTTACAACCTCACTGGGTGCCCAGAGATCATCAGAGAGGATTGGAGCTAGGTTACCATGCATGCTACCAGGTTCAGCTCACAGTCCTAGGGAATATTTCACCTTCTCCACGACCTTCTTGAATGCACTCTTCACTTCTTTGTTCCTCAGGCTGTAGACCACAGGGTTCAACATGGGGATGACCATGGTATAAAACACAGATACGATTTTATCTGTGTCCAGGGAGTGACTGGAGCTGGGCTGCAAGTACATGAAGACAAGAGTCCCATAGAAGATGGAGACAGCAGTGAAGTGAGAGGCACAGGTGGACAGAGCCCTCTGGTATCCTGTGCCTGAGCGCATCTTTAGGATGGTGAGAAAAATGAACATGTAAGATATCAAGATAACAAGGAGAGCAGAACAGATCACAAGGCTGGCTGCATATACAAGAACCATCTCACAAACATGTCTATCAGAGCAAGAGAGAACCATGACTGCTGGAACATCACAGAAAAAGTGATGCACCACATTGGACTTACAGAAGGAGAGACTGAACGTGTCCCCAGTGTGGATGGAGGAATTCAGGAAACCTCCAAGGTAGCAGGCTGTAGTCAGACACACACACACACTTGTCGTCATGGTGGTGGTGTAGTGCAGGGGCTTGCACACTGCAGCATAGCGGTCATAGGCCATCGAGGCCAAGAGGAAATTTTCTGCAGTGACAAAGGCAGCAAACAAGAACATCTGAGCAGCACAAGCATTGTAGGAGATAACTGTGTCTCCTAGAAGGAGCCCAGCCAAGACCGTGGGAGTGACAGCTGAAGAGTAGCAGATGTCCACCAGAGACAGGTTACCGAGGAAAAAGTACATGGGAGTGTGGAGACGGGAGTCCAGGAGGATCAACAAGATCATGCCCAGGTTCCCAGCCACACTGATGAGGTAGATGAGGGTGATCATGATAAAGAGGGGCACCTGTAGTCCTGGGGCATTGGTGAGTCCTAGGAGGATGAACTCTGTCACTTCTGTCCTGTTCTCCATCAGAGTTGTTTGAGAATCAGGAGTCGCCCTGTAGCAAGAAGAATGAAGAAACAGAGCATAAAATGCAGGAGAGATTTCAGTGAGATTGACATGTTTTTGTACTATAGGAATTACACATCACAATAATATTTCTTACATTATTCTCCATAACTAAAGCATGAGCTTTACCATTAAATTTATTAGTTGTTTTAAAATATATTATGTGTATTCACTATCTATAGAGCTTCAAGATGTTAAATTAAGGGTCACCAGAAATCATCTCTCCATCTAAAAAATCTTATATATGTGTAAACTGAAAATTTGAAAATTCAATGAATTAGCCAACATGACAATTCTGAAATTATTAAATTAACCAGTTTATCTTTTCCTGTCCTAGTAAATTCATAGACTGCTGTGCAGCTAATGTTGCCAGGAATGCCTCCAGATGCTTTTATATCTACATTCCCTGATTTCTCCACAAGTTTATTAAGTTGAATAGTTGTTACTTTTATTTAGATTGTGACACACCAGAGATAGTGTAATACCTTCATGTTTATAGACATATTAATTTTCAAACCAATTTTAGACTCTGACAGAATGTTTATCCAGTTAATCATCTAAAATTAAATTGCAATTTACAATTATTATATGTTTCCATTGGTGCAAGCTTAGAATTTGGAATTTCACTATGAATTAAATAAGAAATATATGTAGTGGATGTCATGAGATATCTGGGGCCACAGAGGTGTGTATAAGAAGCATAGATGATTCTGGCAGGGGAGGACATAGCATCAGGTACAGAGCCTGGTCTCTGGACAGAGGCACGTGTCCCACCTGCATTTACAAGCTCAGAATCCTGGTAGTAAACTAACTTCCCTGAGCCAGATTTTCTTTATCTACACAGACACACACATACACACAAATATATGTATATATATATATATATATATATATATATATATATATATATATATATATATATATATATATATAATTAGTCCTCCTTCAAGATGTTATTGTGAAATAATTCATTTTTTTAAAATGAGTGGAATGTGATGTGTTTAGCACAGCTGGCCAGCAGGTAGCTGGACTATTCTTGTGCAGAAGAAACACTGGCCTGTATGTGGTTTGAGAAATGAGGGTGACAACACATGGGACTTCACCTTTGGACACAGTCTGAAGTCTCAAAACCTCCCTCTTTGGCTTTCACACACTAGGCACATGGATTTTATGCACCCTCCAGTAACAGGCACTCCCCTGGTGGTCTGGCTTTCTGATTGGCTGCTCTGTTGATTCCATGTGAGCTGTTCTTTTTCCTAATGTTTTCCTTGAAATTTGTATTCCAGCCTGAGTTGAGCCTTTCTCTTTCTCATTTCTGCCATGTCATGATTAAACTGCACATTTTGAGAGTCAAAAATTCATAGTTTTTGGATTACCTTTAGCCTGAAGTCCTGTTTTGGTGGAAAGTCTATGCTTGAAAATTTTTATTTGAATGTTTTATAAAATAGCAACAGTACTTTTAAATCTTTTTATTTGAATTTTGAGCCTTTAGAAGTATCTCCATCTTCTGCCAACTTCTGTTTCCTATTATTCTCCTCCTGCTTCATTCACAACTGCACCTGACAAGCCTAGACCATAAGGGCTGATGTTTGCCAAACTACTTCTAGTATCACAACATATGAAAAGAGCTTTGTATATAAATATGCATTGACTCTGTGTGTGTGTGTGTGTGTGTAAAGTAGGTATTTTTATAATTTATTTTTTGCCATGAAGGCAACGGAATTTATGAAGTTCAGTGATATTCTATAATTTCAAAGCTAGTATGAAAAAAGATTCAAGATTTGATATTTAAACCCTGTTTCATTCCTACTCAGAAGCCATTGCTTTTACCCACATCACTGTCTACATGGGCAGATGAGCCAATAATATAAAGATCAGAATATGGGATTTGGGGGGAAGTTAAAATGAAATTCTAATCTTACTAAAAGTCTTACAGTTTTTATCTTGGAGGTTTTCCTTGACCATAGTTGCAGATTCCTATCAAATCTTCAGGACAGAAGAAGACCTGCATACACGAAAAGTATTAACACTGATGACCAAAGGTGCCCATTTAGTTTAAGGAAAGGTCATTTTACTCTATTTATTGCCTTCAATGAGAGGCTACCTGATGATAAAGAAATCCAAAGGCCCACCTATCCAAAGCCACATCTATATAATTTGTTAATATTTTTAGATGGCAGCATGCTAATGTTTCATTAATCTCATTAAACTCTCCAGTAATGGAATTTAAATATATATGTAACTTTTTCACTAGAGTGCTTTAGAAAAACACTCAAAACCCTTATCTTTGTGCTCAAAAAATTCAGGATTTACGTTACTATTACTTTTGTATGGAATATAGTTTTCACTAAAAGTATATATTGAATACAGAAGCTTACCTTGCTCCTTGAATGCGAGTGGCAGTCAATTCTGAATAGTGTGTTTGAAATCAGGAATTCTTCCTTTGAGTAATGCATAGATACTGTTGGAGAAGCTCTATTGCAAATAGCAATCAAAAGGTTTCAAAGTTTTTTTTTAAGAGAGCAAAAAACCAGGAAAAAGACATACGTATGGTTTCAGGCCATCAATTTACCACACATTCTCTGTGTGTTCTTAGAGGACTCAATTGCTTTCTCCTTTTTTTGGAAAATAAAGATTAAAAAATGACTTCTTCCACATAGTCCACAGAGTTGTGTTTCTAAGTAGCAAATAAAGGAAAGTACACAAAACAACTTGCTAACAGGTTACTATTTTGAGGTCACTCAGTGCAATTTTTATCTTGGACATTTTCTTTGATGATGTCGCAGATTCCCACTGAATCTTCAGGTCAAAAGAAGACCTGCCTGCACTAACAAATATTAACATTCATATGAATAAGTGATGACCAAAGCTGACCAGTGTGCAGTCTGGTCCTTTTAAAATGAAATCACCAGGATAACTGCTGGACTTCAGAGGGCAATGCTCCTGACCCAGAGGGGAATTACAGAGATCTGAGCTCCCTGGGGGTGTTCCCCAGGAGGCATCCTCATCCCACTTTCCTCAGGAAGAAGCAATTACACTTCCTGTTGGGACTCAGCTGGATATTTTAAGTGTTCCCATATCTATTTGTGTCACTTGTCATTTCTTTTTTTACTTCTAATTAATGTTCAATTTACAAATTGTAATGTATGCACGGTTTAGTACATGGCTCTGAAAGTGTAGTCCAATGCATATCCATGTTACCACTACCCTGATCCCCTGTAATAAATTTTTCTCAAGTTTATTTGTGGTCACGCCCATCTCCCAGCCTTGGCACCTAGCAAACACTAAGCTCTCAGCTCTTTTTGCCCATATAATTTTAGATGCAGTAATTTTTTATAACTAGAATCTCAGAATACGTCTTTTGTTCTGGCATCTTGAATTTAGAAAAAAATGCACTTGATATTTATTTTCATTGATACTTGTATCCGTGTGATATCTTTTTATTGTGAAGTTATACTCTATCATATGCACTTTATATCTTGTGTTTTCATTTTTCTGTTAATGAATATTTTTGTCCTTTCCACTGTTTGGTGATTTCAAATAAAACTGACTTTATATTTCCCTAAAGACTTTTTTGTGAACATATGTAATACTAAGAAACATTTTCTAACTCATTCTGTGAAGCCAGCATTAACATCATTAAGAAAACATCCAAGATAAAAGTTGCACTGAGTGACCTCAAAATAGTAACCTGTTAGCAAGTAGTTTTGTGTACTTTTCTTTATTTGCTACTTACAAACACAATTCTGTGGATTATGTGGGAGACGACAATATGTATGCCAGAAGATGCACAAATATCAACATAAACATTGGCAACATGAGAAAGCAAGGCAATAAGACACCCTCAAAAATTCATTACAATTCAATAACTGATTCCACACTCATCAAAGTGGAGGAAGGTCTGGATAAAGAATTCAAAGAGCCGAGAGTTAAAACGATCAATGAAGCAAAAGATGATCTGAGGAAGAAACAAAAGGAGAAAATGTAGGCTATGAAGAGCACTTCAATAGAGAGACAGAGATTCTGAACACGTGTTGTGTGTACAGAATGGAGTTTTATTCTGCCGTGGAGAAGGACAAAATTATATCATTTGCAGGAAAATGGATGTAACTGAAGCTTAAAGCTAAATCATCTTAAAGCTAAAAGAGCCAGACTCAGAAAGTCAAGAGTTGTATGTGTTCTTTCATACAGGGAAGCTAGAGAGAAAAAAGGCATCTCGAGAAAATAGGAGGGAAACAAGGTAAAGAAACAGGCTCAGGAGGAAGGAAGGGCAAATTACATCACGTGCATGTGCAAATATGCCACAATGGCGTCCACTATTCCAAATGATTTTTATGCATCAATAAATGTGACCATTGCTAAGCTGCTCCTATCCCCGGCTGTTTTGTTCTGCCAGTTGGCAGCTGTGAGTGATCTTTGTTTGCCTAGGTTCAAAGTCAAAAAATATGTGATGATTCACTGGAAATGGGATTTCTAGGAAATCCCTGGGTTCAAAAGTGGAGAGTTCCAGCATGGGGTGAGAATGCAGATAAAAGTATTTTGGCAAAGCAGAAAATAAGCTGTACTTCCTGAAGCACACCACATATCTGTCTAAAAGGTCTAGATCACAGATGATCACTGTGGTCATCAATGAATCAAAATCCAATGAATTGATACAGCTTGACTCGAACCTGATTATTTTACTCATTCATTTAACAAATATTGAGAATATTTAATACATATTTTAAAGATACTGTGTTAATCAGCTTTTTATGACTGTGACCAAAATACCTGAGAAAAAACAACTTAAAAGAGAAAAGATTAATTTTGGATCATGCTTTTGGTTCATGGTGGGCTAGCTCCACTGCTTGGGGCCTTAAGTGAGGCCGGCCATCACAGCAGAGGGTGCAGCAGAGGAAACACCTGCTCAGTGCATGACAATCAGAACGCAGAGAGAAAGAAGGGGTCCAAGGACAAGATATAGTCCCCAGGTGCACAGCCCCAAGGAACCTCTTCTTCAAATCAGGTTCCACCTCTACAGTTTTCAAGCCCTCCCAAAGTTCCTTTTAGAATGTGAATTGATTGATGGATTAACTCACTGGTGAAGGTAGCTCCCTCATGATCCTTCACTTTCCAAAAGCCCCACCTCCGAATGTTGCTGCATTGGGGACCAAGCCTTTAACACACAAGCCTCTGGGAAACATGTCGGATCCAAGCAGTAACAGGTGCTGTTACAGAATTGTGTAAGCAAAACAGATGAATTATCAGTCACAGTGGCTCACATCTGTAATCCCAGTGGCTAGGGAGGCTGACACAGGATATCATAAGTTCAAAGCCAGCCTCAGCACCTTAGTGAGGCCCTAAGCAATTCAGCAACTCAGTGAGACCCTGTCTCTAAATAAAATACCAAATGGGCTGGGGATGGGGCTCTGTGCTTAAGCATCCCTGGGTTCAATGCCTGGTGCCGAAACAAACAAACAAAGAAAGATGAATTGACTGCTCTCATGGAGTTGAAATTCTAACTGGAGATGATAAATAACAAACAAATGAAAGAATAAATACCCAATAGGAAAGTGTGGTGAGAACTACGAGGAATAATGCAGGAATAAGGCAGAGACCCAAATGCAGTGAGGGGAATTTCTACACAGTGGGAAGAGCAAGCCCAAGTGTCCTGAGGGGGGAGCATGCCAGGGGTGGTGGAGAAATATCAAGGAGAACCCGCAAATGACCTGGGGACAAAGACTGGGAGTGACAGGCATTGATGTGACTCCACTGAATTAAGAGTTACTGAGCAGCATCCCAAAGCTCGTACAGAGAGAAAAAGACCGAACATTATCAATATCAGAGCATTTATAAAATAATGTGGATGTTGGGAGTCATATATATAAATTTTAAATTCTTGTATTTTTTTCTTCACTTTTATTTATATCTGATTATTTTATCCTTTTGAAAGGTATAATGCAAAAATATAGGTTCTATAAGATGACTCAGTCAAGGCAGAAATATTAATTCATTTAAGATAGTTTAGCTCTGTGTCTCTCAATAAAATATGCCAATAAGATGAGCACATATTTACATTTAAACAGTTACTCAACTAATCAAAAAAGTAACACTAGTCATAAATTGATATTTCAATATCCCAACTATTTAAATTATTTGAAGTAAACACTAGCAACCAGTTACCTCCAGATAAAGTCCACTCTCATGTGTATTTGCCAATATGAATTGCATGACGCACTTGTGCTATTGGGTTGTTTTACCCCATTTTATACGTATTTTAGAAGCCGAATATGACAGAGGAGATGCATATGGAAAGTAAATAAGTCACCTCTCCTTATCATCATTTTAACAAGCAGAACAAAATCATTGTATATTTCCTTTTAGCCAACCTCATTCAGGTATTATATTTCCAACATTTGTTTCCTTTTTCTTAAAAACAAAGGTTTGAGAGTGAAGGGTGCCAGATCTGGAATTGAACATGAGTGTGGGTCTTACAACCTCACTGGGTGCCCAGAGATCATCAGAGAGGATTGGAGCTAGGTTACCATGCATGCTACCAGGTTCAGCTCACAGTCCTAGGGAATATTTCACCTTCTCCACGACCTTCTTGAATGCACTCTTCACTTCTTTGTTCCTCAGGCTGTAGACCACAGGGTTCAACATGGGGATGACCATGGTATAAAACACAGATACGATTTTATCTGTGTCCAGGGAGTGACTGGAGCTGGGCTGCAAGTACATGAAGACAAGAGTCCCATAGAAGATGGAGACAGCAGTGAAGTGAGAGGCACAGGTGGACAGAGCCCTCTGGTATCCTGTGCCTGAGCGCATCTTTAGGATGGTGAGAAAAATGAACATGTAAGATATCAAGATAACAAGGAGAGCAGAACAGATCACAAGGCTGGCTGCATATACAAGAACCATCTCACAAACATGTCTATCAGAGCAAGAGAGAACCATGACTGCTGGAACATCACAGAAAAAGTGATGCACCACATTGGACTTACAGAAGGAGAGACTGAACGTGTCCCCAGTGTGGATGGAGGAATTCAGGAAACCTCCAAGGTAGCAGGCTGTAGTCAGACACACACACACACTTGTCATCATGGTGGTGGTGTAGTGCAGGGGCTTGCACACTGCAGCATAGCGGTCATAGGCCATCGAGGCCAAGAGGAAATTTTCTGCAGTGACAAAGGCAGCAAACAAGAACATCTGAGCAGCACAAGCATTGTAGGAGATAACTGTGTCTCCTAGAAGGAGCCCAGCCAAGACCGTGGGAGTGACAGCTGAAGAGTAGCAGATGTCCACCAGAGACAGGTTACCGAGGAAAAAGTACATGGGAGTGTGGAGACGGGAGTCCAGGAGGATCAACAAGATCATGCCCAGGTTTCCAGCCACATTGATGAGGTAGATGAGGGTGAACATGATAAAGAGGGGCACTTGTAGTCCTGGGGCATTGGTGAGTCCTAGGAGGATGAACTCTGTCACTTCTGTCCTGTTCTCCATCAGAGTTGTTTGAGAATCAGGAGTCGCCCTGTAGCAAGAAGAATGAAGAAACAGAGCATAAAATGCAGCAGAGATTTCAGTGAGATTGACATGTTTTTTTACCATAGGAATTACACATCACAATAATATTTTTTTACAATATTCTCTATATCTAAAACATGAGGCTTACCATTAAATTTATTAGTTGTTTTAAAATATATTATGTGTATTCACTATCTATAGAGCTTCAAGATGTTGAATGAAGTGTCACCAGAAATCATCTCTCCATTTAAAAAATCTTATATATGTGGAAACTGAAATTTTGAAAATTCAATGAATTAGCCAACATGACAATTCTGGAATTATTAAATTAACCAAATTATCTTTTCCTGTCCTAGTAAATTCATAGACTGCTGTGCAGCTAATGTGCCAGGAATTACTCCAGATACTTTTACATCTATATTCCCTGATTTCTCCACAAGTTTATTAAGTTGAATAGTTGTTACTTTCATTTAGATTTTGAGACACCAGAGGTTGAGTAATACTTTCATGTTTACAGAAGTATTAACTCGTAAACCAAACTTTAGTCTCTGACAAAATATTTATCCGGTTAATTGATCTAAAATTAAGTTGCAATTTACAATTATTCAATGTTTCCATTGGGCCAAGCTTAGAATTTGGAATGTCACAGTGAATAAGCTGAGAGATGTATGTAGTGGAGTGATGAGAAACCTGGGGCATCAGAGGTGTGTATAAGCAGCATAGATGATTCTGGCAGGGGAGGACATAGCATCAGGTACAGAGCCTGGGCTCTGGACAGAGGCACGTGTCCCACCTACATTTACAAGCTCAGAATCCTGTTACTCACCTAACTTCCCTGAGCCAGATTTTTTTTTTAAATCTACTACAACAACAAAAACAGCAAAACAGATAATTAGTCCTCCTTCAAGATGTTATTGTGAGACAATCCATTGTTTTTTTAAATGAGTGGAATGTGATGTGTTTAGCACAGCTGGCCAGCAGGTAGCTGGACTATTCTTGTGCAGAAGAAACACTGGCCTGTATGTGGTTTGAGAAATGAGGGTGACAACACATGGGACTTCACCTTTGGACACAGTCTGAAGTCTCAAAACCTCCCTCTTTGGCTTTCACACACTAGGCACATGGATTTTATGCACCCTCCAGTAACAGGCACTCCCCTGGTGGTCTGGCTTTCTGATTGGCTGCTCTGTTGATTCCATGTGAGCTGTTCTTTTTCCTAATGTTTTCCTTGAAATTTGTATTCCAGCCTGAGTTGAGCCTTTCTCTTTCTCATTTCTGCCATGTCATGATTAAACTGCACATTTTGAGAGTCAAAAATTCATAGTTTTTGGATTACCTTTAGCCTGAAGTCCTGTTTTGGTGGAAAGTCTATGCTTGAAAATTTTTATTTGAATGTTTTATAAAATAGCAACAGTACTTTTAAATCTTTTTATTTGAATTTTGAGCCTTTAGAAGTATCTCCATCTTCTGCCAACTTCTGTTTCCTATTATTCTCCTCCTACTTCATTCACAACTACACCTGACAAGCCTAGACCATAAGGGCTGATGTTTGTCAAACCACTTCTAGTATCACAACATATGAAAAGAGCTTTGTATATAAATATGCATTGACTCTGTGTGTGTGTGTGTGTGTGTGTAAAGTAGGTATTTTTATAATTTATTTTTTGCCATGAAGGCAACGGAATTTATGAAGTTCAGTGATATTCTATAATTTCAAAGCTAGTATGAAAAAAGATTCAAGATTTGATATTTAAACCCTGTTTCATTCCTACTCAGAAGCCATTGCTTTTACCCACATCACTGTCTACATGGGCAGATGAGCCAATAATATAAAGATCAGAATATGGGATTTGGGGGGAAGTTAAAATGAAATTCTAATCTTACTAAAAGTCTTACAGTTTTTATCTTGGAGGTTTTCCTTGACCATGGTTGCAGATTCCTATCAAATCTTCAGGACAGAAGAAGACCTGCATACACGAAAAGTATTAACACTGATGACCAAAGGTGCCCATTTAGTTTAAGGAAAGGTCATTTTACTCTATTTATTGCCTTCAATGAGAGGCTACCTGATGATAAAGAAATCCAAAGGCCCACCTATCCAAAGCCACATCTATATAATTTGTTAATATTTTTAGATGGCAGCATGCTAATGTTTCATTAATCTCATTAAACTCTCCAGTAATGGAATTTAAATATATATGTAACTTTTTCACTAGAGTGCTTTAGAAAAATGTTCAAAAATCCTTATCTTTGTGCTCAAAAAATTCAGGATTTATGTTACTATTACTTTTGTATGGACTACAGTTTTCACTAAAAGTATATATTGAATACAGAAGCTTACCATGCTCCTTGAATACGAGTGGCAGTCAATTCTGAATAGTGTGTTTGAAATCAGAAAATCTTCCTTTGAATAATGCATAGATACTGTTGGAGAATCTCTATTGCAATTAGCAATCAAAAGGTTTCAAAGTTTTTAAAGACAGTAAAAAACAGGAAAAAGACATACGTATGGTTTCAGGCCATCAATTTACCACACGTTCTCTGTGTGTTCTTAGAGGACTCCATTGCTTTCTCCTTATTTGTAAAATAAGATTATAAAATGTAGTCTCCCACATAGTCCACAGAGTTGTGTTTCTAAGTAGCAAATAAAGGAAAGTACACAAAACAACTTGCTAACAGGTTACTATTTTGAGGTCACTCAGTGCAATTTTTATCTTGGACATTTTCTTTCATGATGGTTGCAGATTCCCACTGAATCTTCAGGTCAAAAGAAGACCTGCCTGCACTAACAAACATTAACATTCATATGAATAAGTGATGACCAAAGCTGACCAGTGTGCAGTGTGGTCCTTTTAAAATGAAATCACCAGGATAACTGCTGGACTTCAGAAGGCAATGCTCCTGACCCAGAGGGGAATTACAGAGATCTGAGCTCCCTGGGGGTGTTCCCCAGGAGGCATCCTCATCCCACTTTCCTCAGGAAGAAGCAATTACACTTCCTGTTGGGACTCAGCTGGATATTTTGAGTGTACACATATCTATTTGTGTCACTTGTCATTTCTTTTTTCACTTCTAATTAATGTGCAATTTACAAATAGTAATGTGTGCACGGTATTTAGTACATGGCTCTGAAAGTGTAGTCCAATGCATATCCATGTTACCACTACCCTGATCCCCTGTAATAAATTTTCTCAAGTTTATTTGTGGCCACGCCTATCTCCTACCCATGTATTTTGGATAATGATGTCCATCACATTCCACCATCCTCGATAACCCCTGCCCCCTCCCTTCCCCTCCCACCCCTCTGCTCTATCTAGAGTTTGTCTATTCCTCCCATGTTCCCCCTCCCTACCCCCACTATGAGTCAATCACCTTATATCAGAGAAAACATTCTGCGGAAACAATCTGTGAGGAGAATAGAGAGCCTACATCTTGGGAGCAAATCTTTACCCCTCACACATCAGATATAGCACTAATCTCTAGGGTATATAAAGCTAAACACCAAATAATAATAATAATAATAACAACCCAATCAATAATTGGGCCAAGGACCTGAACAGACAGTTCTCAGAAGAGGATATACAATCAATCAACAAATATATTAAAACAATATTCATCATCTCTACCAATAGAGAAATGCATATCAAATCCACTCTAAGATTTCATCTCACCCCAATCAGAATGGCAGCTATTATGAAGACAAACAACAATAAATGTTGGTGAAGATGTGGGGAAAAATGTACACGCATACACTATATGCATATCGGTGCAGCCAATACGGAAAGCATTATGGAGATTCCTTGGAAAACTGGGAATGGAACCACCATTTGATCCCTCTCCCGAGTCTATACCCAAAGGACTTAAAAGCAGCATACTACCGGGCCACAGCCACATCATGTTTATAGCAGCACAATTCACAATAGCTAAACTGTGGAACCAACCTAGATGTCCTTCAGTGGATGAATGAATTTAAAAAAATGTGGCTTATATACACAAAGGTGGGTTTTCTTCATCTGAGCCTCTCCTCACTATTTCCATGTCACACTCTACTTCCTTATTGGTCACAGTGAATTCTTGGGGAGGGGAGGTCTTAGTTTGTACCCTTCTAGGAATGATAGCAGGTGAGCTGTGGCTCTTCAGTCTCCCCTTGGTGGTTAACATTCCCCCTTTCCTCTCTGCAATGCAGGTGTTTTAAATGTCAAAGTCTCAAATGCTGAATCTCCTGGTTTTGCTTTGGTTTATCTTCAGACCAACACTATTGATGGGGGTCATAATACAGTGGGGTGGTATGTCTAATTAAAATATAGAAATATAATCTTATAATATTTCCTATTGTTGTCAAAGGCACTGAAAAAACGAAAAGAAGTAAAATAAGTAAAAGCCAGTTTTCACAAATTGAGTTCCCCAGCTTAATTTTCAAAGTACTTATGGTGATGGCAGAAGGCAGACGAAACTGATCTGGAATGACGTGAAGCAGACTCCAGACAAAGAAATTGGGAGCTGCACTTTGCTGAGCCATGTGAATGGGAAATGTGCCCTTGGACATGTGGAGGACAGTGACATATCTCTCCAACATAGAAACTCTCTCAGGTCTCACTTCCAACAATCCAGGAGAATGTCCTTGCTGGCAGTTCTTAGCATCCAGAGGTCAGTGTTTTCCCTGCAGGACACACGATAACTGAAGACATTCTTTTCCTTTATTGAAAAAAGAATCTCTAGTGTTTTCTAGTCAGCAAGTTTTATGAGGAAGTGGTGAAAGTATTGTTTGGCATCCTTAAGTATTGATAGCAAATCATATTGGACCTCTTTTTTTTTTTTTTTTTGGTACTGGGGATTGAACTCAGGGGCACTCGGCCACAGAGCCACATTACCAGTCTTATTTTATTTAGAGACAGGGTCTCACTGAGTTCTTAGCACCTCACTTTTGCTGAGGCTGGCTTTTTTTTTTCATTCATTTTCAGGATGTTTGTAAGAGTCTTTTTATTTTTATTTTTTTTTCCTTTTTTTATTGGTTGTTCAAAACATTACAAAGCTCTTGTCATATCATATTTCATACATTTGATTCAAGTGGGTTATGAACTCCCATTTTTACCCCGTATACAGATTGCAGAATCACATAGGTTACACATCCACGTTTTTACATATTGCCATACTTGTGACTGTTGTATTCTGCTATCTTTCCTATCCTCTACTATCCCCCCTCCCCTCCCCTCCCATCTTCTCTCTCTACCCCATCTACTGTAATTCATTTCTTTCCCTTGATTTTTTCCCCTTTCCCCTCACATCCTCTTATATGTAATTTTGTATAACAATGAGGGTCTCCTTCCATTTCCATGCAATTTCCCTTCTCTCTCCCTTTCCCTCCCACCTCACGTCCCTGTTTAATGTTAATCTTTTTCTCATGCTCTTCCTCCCTGCTCTGTTTTTAGTTGCTCTCCTTATATCAAAGAAGACATTTGGCATTTTTTTTTAGGGATTGGCTAGCTTCACTTAGCATAATCTGCTCTAATGTCATCCATTTCCCTGCAAATTCCATGATTTTGTCAGTTTTTAGTGCTGAGTAATACTCCATTGTGCATAAATGCCACATTTTTTTTATCCATTCATCTATTGAAGGGCATCTAGGTTGGTTCCACAGTCTAGCTATTGTGAATTGTGATGCTATGAACATCCATGTAGCAGTATCCCTATAGTAGGCTCTTTTAAGGACTTCAGGGAATAGTCCAAGAAGGGCAATAGCTGGGTCAAATGGTGGTTCCATTCCCAGCTTTCCCAGGAATCTCCATACTGCTTTCCAAATTGGCTGTACCAATTTGCAGTCCCACCAGCAACGTACAAGTGTACCCTTTTCCCCACATCCTAGCCAGCATTTGTTGTTGTTTGACTTCATAATAGCTGCCAATCTTACTGGAGTGAGATGGTATCTTAGGGTGGTTTTGATTTGCATTTCTCTGACTGCTAGAGATGGTGAGCATTTTTGCATGTACTTGTTGATTGATTGTATATCCTCCTCTGAGAAGGGTCTGTTCAGGTCCTTGGCCCATTTGTTGATTGTGTTATTTGTTTACTTATTGTCTAATTTTTTGAGTTCTTTGTATACTCTGGATATTAGGGCTCTATCTGAAGTGTGAGGAGTAAAGATTTGTTCCCAGGATGTAGGCTCCCTATTTACCTCTCTTATTGTTTCTCTTGCTGAGAAAAAACTTTTTAGTTTGAGTAAGTCCCATTTGTTGATTCTTGTTTTTAACTCTTGTGCTATGGGTGTCCTATTAAGGAATTTGGAGCCCGACCCCACAATATGTAGATCGGAGCCAACTTTTTCTTCTATCAGACGCAGAGTCTCTGATTTGATATCAAGCTCCTTGATCCATTTTGAGTTAAATTTTGTGCATGGTGAGAGAAAGGGATTCAGTTTCATTTTGTTGCATATGGATTTCCAGTTTTCCCAGCACCATTTGTTGAAGATGCTATCCTTCCTCCATTGCATGCTTTTACCCCTCCATCAAATATAAGATAGTTGTAATTTTGTGGATTGGTTTCTGTGTCCTCTATTCTGTACCATTGGTCCACCTGCCTGTTTTGGTACCAGTACCATGCTGTTTTTGTTACTATTGCTCTGTAGTACAGTTTGAAATCTAGTATCGCTATACCTCCTGATTCATACTTCCTGCTTAGAATTGCTTTTGCTATTCTGGGTCTTTTATTTTTCCATATGAATTTCATGATTGCTTTATCTATTTCTACAAGAAATGCCATTGGGATTTTGATTGGCATTGCACTGAACCTATAGAGAACTTTTGGTAATATCGCCATTTTGATGATGTTAGTTCTGTGAGGCTGGCTTTGAACTCATGATTCTCCTGCCTCAGACTCCCCTGGTGCTGGGATTATACTGTGCATCACCAAGACCAGCTGGACCTCAATTTTAATGGACATAATATATCAATAAGTGATTATAGAATATAAACTCAACAGAAATCTTTTTTTAGTACATTGATGTGTTCTGAGTGCATAGAACAGATTTAGTAGCACATAATTAATACTGTAAAGATTTGTATGTATTTTTGTGCTGTCAGCAGAAAGAACACTCTACAAATGAAAATCAAGAAGTCTGAGAATGTGTGCCCTCTTTGACCTTGCCAATTCCAGACCAGAGAATTTTCCTTAACAGAAGGAAGGAAGAAGTCAGGCATGGCAGATCACACCTGTAATCCCAGAGACTTCAGGAGGCTGGGACAGGAGGATCACAAGTTTAAGACCAGCCTCAGAAATTAATGAGACTGTTTTAGTCAGCTTTTTCGCCGCTGTGACTGAAGGATCCACCAGCACAATTATAGAGGAGGAAGAGTTTATTTGAGGGCTTGTGGTTTCAGAGGTCTTAATCCATAGAAGGCAGGCTCCATTCCTCAGGGCTCTAGGTGTGACTGAACATCATGGCGGGAGAGGGTGGCAGAGGGAAGCAGCTCACATCATGGTGATCAGGAAGCAGAGATGCAAATATATACAAATATATACACCAAAGCCACGCCCCAATTTCCACCTCCTCCAGCCACACCCTAGCACTTTAGTTAATCCCACCAGGGATCAACTCACTAACGAGGCTAAGACTATAACCCAATCATTTCTCCTCCAACCTTCTTGCATGTCTCACATGTGAGCTTTTGGGGGATACCACATCTAAACCATAGCAGAGACCCTGGCTTAAAATCAAAAATAAAAAGAGCTGGGGATGTAGCTCAGCGGTAGAGCACTCCTGGGTTTAATCTACTACAAAAAAGCAGATGGGTGGAAGGGATGAAAGAACAAAGAAAAGAAAAAATAGTGAAGAAAAGAAGGCACAAAAAAACTAAACTTTAGAAGTTCACCAGGCTTAAGTCAAGGATCCTACTTCAGTATGATGAAATATTTCTTGTCATCAAAATGGCAAATTTATAGAAGATGCTATAATTTCATAGTACACAGATTTACATTTTCACCAGAAAATACACTAAATAGAGTGGGATATGAATTTTCATCTGTAGTTCCAGGGAATAAGACATATGCTACTATTTTTTGTAAACCAGTGGTTCTCAGAGCATGGTCCCTGGACTGACAGCATCATCACCACCAGGAAACTCATTAGAAATGTAAATTCTGGGGTTCTTTCCAAGAAGAATCTGGGGCTGAGGCCCTACAGTTTGCATTTTAACAAGCTTCCCGGAATTTTTTTTTTTTTACAGGGACGGGGTTGGTGGATGGGTCTTGCTATCTGCAGAGGATGGCCTTGAACTCTTGGGCTCCTGCCTCAACCTCCTGAGTACTGGGACTATGGGTGTGCACCAGCGCCTCCCCCCAGCTACAACGCCAGGTGGTTACGATGCACTCTTAAGTTTGGGAACTACTCTCTAAAACAGCTTTTCTCAACCAGAGGCAATTTTGCCTCCAGGGACATTGTCATTATGTGGAGATAGATGTTCTCAGTGACCAAAAGGGAGATGGAGGATGCTATTGGCATCTCTTGGGTAGAGGTCAGGAATCCAGCTAGCATCCTACAATCAACAAATATTAGATAGTCCAAAATGTCTATTGCGCAAATGCAGAAAAACCCTGCTCTAAACTGGGTCTCCTCTTGACTGCCCAGAAAATTAAATCTTAGCCATTATTTTGGAGATGGGTAGATGGGGTAGGGCTTCATCATCTCCAATGTCAAAGACTAATTTTGGGTTTAGGTATACCTGAGGGAGTAAGTTCTTAATCCAGGTGATCACCCTCATTCCAGAACTCTCTTTGCTGCCTAGTGCGGGGTGGGTTGTTGTGGGGGGGAGTGCTATTTCTCTTGAGGGGTGAGAAAGGAGACTCTCAGCAAACCTGTCCCAACCAAGAAGAATATCTCTCCTGTTGTTGCCACCCACAGGAACTCTCCCACAAGACAATTACCTGAACATCATAGAGTTCCGCCATCCTGTAGTAATGGGCCAAGGTCAAGAGAGATAGCAGGGATCCCTCCACTCCTATCTCTTCTCAGTAAATGTCCACCTCCCTGGGTCTTGATCCGCCTTCCCATTTTCTACTTTCCCTCCCCATCATGAACCACTTTGCATAAACTTGTATAATCAAGGGTAAAAATCACTTTATTACTCGATAGTTTCAGTGGGTTTGGGAAGCCACATTGGATCATTTTTCCTGGGGTGGGAGCTGGGAGAAGACAAGTTAAAGGAGTTAGTCTTTTTTCTTAACAATTCTTCTTGCTATGTCATGTACATTGTGTTTAGCCTAACAGCCCATATAATTTGTGTGGCATATATTTAATGTACCTATAAAGCAGCAAACAGAGGAAAAGCTACACTCTAAAGATCTAATGAAGAAAGCCCACTTGCTGATCACTGAAGGAAAAGCCATAAACAGAAAGAGAAATAAGTCATAGCGGCCAGAAAATATTATCAAGGATCTTCCAACCCACTTGTTACGAGTTCCAGAAAAAGTAATTTGAAACATTATGTAGCTGATGAAGGATGTGGTGTTAAATCACAGGGGTTCAATACAGCAGCAACATTTTCTGCTTCTATCTGGGGAACCTAAGGGAAGTCCATGAGTGATTTGAGCCCAGGGACAGGAAAGTCCTGTTGACCATTCACACTCCTTCTGTGGAGCCCGAACAGGAGCCCTGACTGCTGATTCAGTGTATTATTTCTTTCTTCCTGCCATTCACTCCAGACCCACCCAACACCAAGTTGTGTTCAGCGCCAGCTTCACATGGGCGAACAGAGCCACTGGTTCCAGGCACAAGACATGGGGATATGTTGCAGAGTGTAGCTCATTTTTTGCATAGCTGTGTTGGTCCTGACTGTGTGAGAATAAACAGGAAACCCACGTTTGGCCATTTCCTGGGCCTGCATATAGACAGCATAGGAGACGAGGCCCTGGGTACGGTACTCAGGCAGGGTACCTCCCATTCGCGTTTCTCCAGTGTAGTCCATTAATGTCCAGGACACTGGGTTCCCCTCAGGCCCCAGCAAACAGGAGCTCGGGAAGTTCTGGATACAGCGCTCAATGAATTTCTGGCTTCTCTCATTGCCACCAAAATGCCAGAATTTATTCACCAAGGCAGCATGGGGAATACCCAGGGATGAGATTTTAAACTTCTCTTGGTTGCTATGGAGAGAAAGAAAAGCCCATGAGGATAAAGGTGGGTATTTGTTCTTACCTCAACAAGCTGGAGAGACAGAGAAGAGGACCCAGCGAGTGCAAGTCCTAGAGTATGGAGAGCTTGTGATGCCCGGGGACAGAGAGGAGGCCAGCGTGGCCGGAGGAAGCGAGCAAGAACAAGTTCAGCAGCAGACCCAGGACTCACTCACTCTAGGTGGGGAGGAAGGTAGTCTGAGTTACTCTTTTTTAAAAGACGATGCTTACCACTTGATGGAACACTGATTGTTCCAAGGAAAGAGCAAGCAGGGCGAGAAGGCAGGACCCTGCTTAGAGGCAGAGGAAGGAGCAGGGAGAGTTGGCATTTTATCAGACTCACATGGCCTTGGGCTTGCCATCACCAGGTGATAAAGTCTTTGTATCCAGCAGGGAAGGGATTAGTTTCTTGATGGTTTCAGCTGCGATGAAGAGAATGTTCTCTGAGCGTTCGATTTTCAAAGATTTCGTCGCTGCAAGATTTTGTACTGCCTTATTCAGGCTCGACTGGCAACCTAGATGGGTGCATGAGGAGAAGTAATGATGAGAATCCCTTCGAGAGAAGCTCTTCACGGGAGTAGGAAATGTCACATTTAGGGTCAGAAAACCATGGTCCTGGGCTTGGTGTTGCCACCATGCGAATGGTCATCTAGTTTCAGGATTTTTGAAAACTTCCTGTTTTATATAGATAAATATGGACTTATTTTTATTGCTAGTGGTGATATCAAGATGGGAACAAAGTTTTCTGGGCTATATAATCATGTAGTTTTGATAATCAAAGAGAAGAGTTATTAAAAAAAAACAATAGCCAACATCTACTGAGCCATGTTCCCAATGTGATGGATTATTTCAGTAATAACACCACTTGAGCTCATCTCCTGGTATCAGTTCCCTGGAAGTGTTCACTCCTGCACTGTGTCTGACATTTAATAAGTGACTTGCATCTACTAATGAAAAGAGCAAATTGAATGCAGAGAAGGCTTAAAGCACATGCCCTTGGGGCTTTCCCTCTCTTTTTGATCTTGTTTATCTGGAGACCCATATTATAAAAGTAGCCTAGGCTGGCTTATAGGAGACACGTGCTTCTATCATGAGGTCACTAAAGCCCAAAACCAGCACGGCAGGCAGCCAGAATCACCATTCAGACATGCAAAAGAGGCCATGCTAAAGCCACCATACCTCCCATCAACTCAGGGTGTGTGATATACCTAGAAGAGACCAGCAGAGGAACTGCCTGGCAAAGCCCAGCTCAGATGGTTGATTCACTTACTTAGGAGCTTACTTATGCAGCAAAAATTAACTGACACATCTTGGTATTGTACTAAGCTCTTCTTATTCACAATCTCATTTTTTGTTTGTTTATTTGTTTATTTTTTTTTTTAGTGCTCTGTGCTGTACATACCATTATTCCTCTCATTTTTATATGTGAAGAATATAATCTTATGGAGGAGAAGTCACTTTGCTAGAGTCACAGAAACTATTAGGCAGATACCATCCTAGACAGCCTGATTCCAGAGGGCATACTGGGAGATTCTCTACGGCACAATGAATTGCTGTTCTGACTTCAGGATTGGGAGGTGAAACTCTGCTCTGACACCCAGTAAGCCCAGTAAGCCTAAGGGTTATCTGTGAAAGATGCCATAAATTCTTGATAACAGGAATTACATTATGGTTGTCCAAATGAAACACATTCTTTCCCATATTTGAGGATTTTTTGCACCTTTACAGGGATAGGGTCAAAAAACTGATGGCAAGTGAGGATCTGGTCTTTGAAGGAGAGATGTATGAACCACTTGGGGACTTGATCAGGACACAGCGGTGAGTCAGCTGATCAGGACTTGATCAGGACACAGTGGTGAGTCCATTCCTCTCACTTACTCTGAATCTGCAAATGCTGCTTCCAATTGATCACTTCTGGAGAACCAAGGAATTCTTGACAGTTCTGGGGATCCTTGGAGTAGACTTGGTAAGTATTGGTGTATTGATCAAGGTCATCTGTCATATCCTATTGTCATTGGGAAAAGGAGAAAGAACACATTCCTTATAATTTGTGATGGCAATGCTAGTTCCATTGTCTGATATTTTTAAGTAACAAAACATTGCTCTTTTTATTGATGCAATTGAATTATTTCTGAGTCATTTACATCATGAGATCAAGATCAGAGATTCAAATATTCAATTGGTGATGAAAAATTCCAGAACAATATTATTCTCTACCCTTATGTTACATTGATATTTCAAATCAAATATACAACCATTTAGACAGTATTATTCTATACTCCAATCATTCTGATCAAAAAAGAAAAGGAAGCAATGAAGGAAAACTTCTGCTGCAAAAATACAATTCAAATACTTGCAGAACTCACAGACTAAGAACATGACAGTACTAAATTTAATAAAGATATTGGAATTAATATTTCCATCCATATGTAATAAAATCATACTGGAAATGCTTTCTTTGAAAAATGCCATAGTTAAAATTGTATTTTGAGAAAAACAAACAAGCCTCATATTTAGAAAGATCCCTTCAAAGTATTAAATAACAGATAAAATTATTTGGAAAAAGGAGACAGAGGAAAATATTATCACAACGAGGGTAGAGTTAGAAAACTTTTAAAAAATTAATTGGAAATGCTACAAAAAATTCACTCATGAGTCAGCTATGACATTACTGACAAATTTTGTTGCTTAAGATTATACGTAGCCGGGCACAGTGGCGCACACCTATAATCCTAGAGGCCCTGGAGGCTGAGACAGGAGAATTGCTTGTTCAAAGCCAGCCTCAGTAACTCAGTGAGACCCTAAGCAACTCAACAAGACCCTATCTCTAAATAAAATGCAAAAAAGGGCTGAGGGAGCTGGGGTGTGGCTCAAGCCGCAGCGTGCTCGCCTGGCATGCGTGCGGCCCGGGTTCGATCCTCAGCACCACATACAAACAAAGATGTTGTGTCCACCGAAAACTAAAAAATAAATATTAAAAAATTCTCTCTCTCTCTCTCTCTCTCTCTCTCTCTCTCAAAAAGAAAATAAAGAAATTATTAAAAAGGGGGGGGGGGTCTGAGGATGTGGTTCAGTGGTAAAGTGCAATTCCCCAGGACCTAAATAAATAAATAAATAAATACATAAAATCTAAGACGATGAATTCCATTTTCAATAGGAAAAAAAGAACTGTACAAATAAGCTTCAAACTATTCTTTTGTATGTGCCAGTCAATGTAGTTTTTAATAAAACTTGGACCTAAATACTAGTAACTTCAGAAAAGAATTTGGGTGGAGAGGAGAAGGTATTTCATTTAGGAAAAATAACCACTCGCTTTTTTCTAATATTCAACACACACAATTTAAACATACAGAGCTTCTGTAACACTTTTAAAAAAATTTCTGTGTACTGAAGCAATAACAAGATCCAACTACAGTTACATTTTTAAACACTGGGTCAAGACTTTACATAAAAACACCACTGTACTTTTCCCTCCTAAGTTCCTAAAATATTACATACTTTCCTCAACATCTGTAGCCATCCAGGAATTTTTAGGAAATTTCATGCATGATCTTAAATCCTAATCCCTGATTCTTTGGGCTCAGTGACAAAAGATCAGAACCACCCAAAATGATGGCTCAGTGGAAGTCGGAGGAGAGACCCTGGCTCAGTCAGCCTCCTAGGTTGAAAGTAGCACTGTGTCAACTGGCTTCATGCAGGACAGGCACAGGGTGGATCTCACCAACCAGTCAACTACACAGTCCAGGTAATGTGCATGCACAGCAGAAGCCTAACTGGTCTCTATAAGCAAGGTCCGTCGTACAGATCACACGCTCCAGGATCTTTTGATCTCTCTCTTCCAGGGTCATAAACTCCTTTAGGTAGGTGCTGTACAAGGCCTATTTTTTGAACTTTCCTAATTTGTTTCTCTTTTAGTCAGCTCAGTTGCTATCCGAGTCTGGCTAGGTATCGGATGATAAACTGCAACTGGAACTTGTTCCTGACGAGGTGGCAGTGGCTCCTGATCTGCCTCCGTCCCCTCACCAAGGCTATTGGGTAGGACTGAAACTCATGAAGCCGGGAGACAGCATCCGAGGCAGGGGATTGGAGGCACGTTCCCCATCTTCCTAAACTGGGGTGTGTGATCTCTTACCTGTGTGCTGTTCTGACAGTCTTCTCTGTATTTTCATATTCTTTTTGTTTTTATTTTGTATTCTTTTAATACTTTTCATTGTTTTTTTTTAAATTATAGGTAAAATTATATGTACTTATGTACAACATGTTTCCAAGTACAATCACACATCACTTAGCGATAGGGATATGTTGTGGAAAATGCATTGTCAAGAGGGTTTGCTGTGCAAACCTTGTAGATTATGTTTACACAGATGAAAATGGCTAAAAAATTTTATGCGTCCACTGTCAGATACAAAGTCTGTCACTGACTAGAAAGTCATTATGCAAAGCATGACTGTGTATATACAAGTGGCGTGATTAAATCCAGCTAATTTACATATGCATTATCTCACATAGTTATCAATCCTGTGGTGAGAAACTTTAGGTCCAGTCAAGCGTATTGCTTTTGAGAATAAAAAACAATGATTAACTGTAGTCACCATGTTGTCCAACAGCTCTATTAAATTTATCCCTCCTATCCAACTGTAATTTTGTATCATTTGGGCCAACATTACCCTACCCCAACCCCTCCAACAACCACCCCAACCCCTGGCAACAGCCATTCTACTCTCTGCTCCCTATAAGATCAACTTTTTCAGATTCCATATAAAAGTGAGATTGCATGCTATTCGTCTGTTTGTACCTGGTTTAGTTACTTAACTTATATTTATGTTCATCCACGTTGTTGTGATAGGATTCTTTCATGGCTGAACAGTATTACGTGGTGCATATACACCACACTTTTCACCCATTCGTCCGTTCATGACACTGCCAGGTTAATCTCAGTGACCCTGGGTGTTGGACAGCCCCCAGCAACAGCAGGTTACAGCAGACCCTGGGTTTCTGGAGCTCTGCAGTGGCACATTAGCCCGGTGGCCCTGGTTTTGTGCTTCAGCACTGTGACTACTGTAGCAATCCTGGGCTTGTGATCACACCAGAAAACCTGCCCAGAACCTCTGAAAGGACTGACTATTGAAGGGCTTTTCCAAGTCTGTCCACAAAGACTGGAATAAGTCCCTCCTTTTTTAAAAAAACACAAAAATCAAGGATCAAGACCAATCAGGGAAACATGACATCAAAGACCAAATAAAGTGCCGGATATTGGACCTAAAGAAATGGAGAGTATGAACTACTTACGGATTCAAAATAGCTGTTTTAAGGAAACTCAGCAAAAAAACAACCAAACAAAAAAAATCCAGAGAAACAATTCAACAAGTGATCAGAACAAGAAATGTAATAGTAAAATTGATATAATTAAAAAAAAATGACACAGAAATCCTGGAGCTGAAATATTCAATGAATGAAATGAAAAAATTCAATAGAGAGCACCCATAGCAGAATTGACCAATCAGGAGAAAGAATTTGTTAACTCAAAGATAAGTTATTTGAAAACATATCATCAGAAAACGATCTGAAAATGAAATCAATAAAACAATTCAATTCACAATAGCATCAGAAATATTCAGGAACAAAGCATATCTAGAAAGCTGTAACATCGATAAAATAAATTGATGCAGACTCAAATAAATGGAAAGATATCTTACGTTTATGGAACACGATTAATACTGTTAAAATGTCCATACCACCCATTGTGATTTACTGATCTGATGCAATTTCTACCAGAATAGTCACAATATGGAGATCAGCCTGGAAGTGGTGTGGAATGGAGATCAAATCCACTAACTCAGGCCTGAAGCCTAGTGTTGGGAGATGTCACCTGGTCCAGGATAAGTCTGAAGGCTCAGTCCTGTAGGTATTCCTGGAGTTTGGAATGTTGAGGTCTATGTGGTTATGATTTTTTTTTAATTTTTTGATGATGGGTCCCACATTGGGGTCCAAGGCAAAGTCCTGTCTTTACCTCCTCTCTTTCCCCTGAGCAGAGAGTAGCTCTCTACACTATACTCCATGAAGCTGGGGGCATGGAATGTTCTTTCCACACTCTTCAATGTGGTCTTTTGTTATTATTGTGCTACAGCCAGGTAGTGTGATTTCTCACCTGGTTTGCTTAGCTGTGGTAAAGGTACTTTTGTGCAAGGATAGTCATTCAAATGGGTGTTTCTAGAGGGGGATGGTTGTTGGAGACACTTGTTCCACCATCTTGTTTCACCTAATCCCCTATTTTTTGGAAATTTTAAAATAAGCATATGGATTTTTATCTTTGAATTATAGTAACTATTTAGTTTTGTTAATTTTAGGTCTTTCCCTTAGCTGCATATGGAAACTATAACATTGAAATTTAGTGCTTTAGAGTTAACCTGACACATTGTGCTCTATCATATTTTCATAGTCCCATCCTTTTGATTATCTCTGATGAGAACATATTCTTTCCATTCTTGGCCTGACAAAAATATACTTACCTACAAAATAAAGTTTAGATGAAACCTCCAACCAAATGTGTCTCTATCATTACACTGAAGCCTCCTCCTGGAGCCTCGATAGTAGAAGTTAATCAACTTTTGCTTGAGCTATTTCTGTTTCATCGTATCTAAGTTGCAATCTTCCTGTTAATCGGTCTTTTCCTCCAGGATGTAACATTATTGAGAATGGGGACTTGTTTGACATCACCGTGATGGACTTCTGTATCTCTAGGTTTTACACACTGCCAGATACATGGTAGGCACACAGAAAATATGACCATCTGGCACCTTACCTGTTCCTGAGGGCGGATAACCACCGTATTGAAATCAGGCCATTTGTCTACTAAAGCCTTTAGGTTGAATGGGTTTCCATGGTTCATGTGAAATACAGTCCCATAAACCTGCAGGATTCCATGGAAGAGAGGTCAGCTATCAGAAGGGAAAGGCAGAGTGTCCTGTTTGATCAGGACAAAGGTCACTACTATACATTGTGACATTATGGAAGTCAAATGAGAATCTAGGTCAAACAATCTCCATCTTCTACTTTTTTTAACTTCAATTAATAGGAGATTTTTCTTTCCATTAAATATTAATCATAGGTCATGTAGCAAAAATATTTGCACAAATAAAATGAATGACTTTAGGAAAACCATCCTTTACTATAGGATTTAGTATCGTGTTTTTCCAAACTTTCTTCTATTTATACACTGAGGCATACAATTATAAAAATGAAATTACTGATACTTGTTGTTTTGCCCACTGAACATATTATAGACATATTTTTAACCTGTTTTCAATTTTTTGCTTTCACACCTAATTCTTCCTGGAACATGCTTGCCCGGGAATTTTTGCCTGGGTACCTGACATTTTCCTAGATTCTCCAAAAGGGTAATTTCTGCTTCAAAAGTCACGTACATGTTTAAAATTCTTTAACAAATCTTCCCATTTTGCCCTCTGGAGGGTTAAATCAACTCCCACCAACCAACAGTACCAATACCTTGTGCTCAAGAGAATGGACTTTGGGTTCTCATAATCCCGTCTTGGATCCTCACCCCTGCCATGTTGTACAGGTTATAGGGAAAGAGGATGAAAGAGAGAGACCAGGATGAATGAGAGCAAAGCTGTAAACAGTTAAGTGTCCTTGTAGTTCTGAGGTTGGAGAAAGCAGTAGCAGATCAACACAGACCTCATGAAAGTTGTGAAGATAAGAGTTCAGCAGATATCAGCATGAAAGTAGGCTAGTGACCCAAGATCAAAGGGGTGCAGTACACTTGATTCCCGTGATGAACATTTCTAAATTATTTAAAATTAAATGATTAGTTAAACTAAGTTGTAATTAACTAGACTTTTTTTTTCCTACTGAACTCAGAACATAATCAGTGGAACACAGTGAGGCAGCTAGTACAATTTGAGTCATTTGGAGTTGATACCTGTACTTATTTATTATTAATATTTTATATATTTTATATTAATAATGTTTATTATTTAATATGTAAAAGAATAGATAGACATTTTCTCAACTTCAATCCTTACTTTAAACCCAGTTGAGACAATGTCTATCTATATATGTATAGTACCTGGCATACAAATATTATTGATTTCCATTCAGGGAGAATGTATTTATTTAATATACAACCAAAGTGGAATGCTCTTCCTTCATAAGAAGTAAGGAGCCAAGACAGCCCCCTCATTTCACCACTGCTCCAACAAAAGACCACTGGGAAACACCACACATTTCCACAAAATGTTGAGTCCTACTACCACAAGAAATAGAGAAATTTAAATTACAAAATTCTATCCTAAAGCATTAAATAAAATTTTTTATCCTGGAATATTTTTAAAAATAGTCACTCATGAAAATATCTCAGGCTGGTGTCCATAGACTGTCTAACTGATGGAGTCTCCACAAAAATAATCCTGCTGGTCAGGCAAAGGCAGTTGAATATTAGGTAATATTGACTCTTATTAGCAGAGGCTGCCAAAAAAAGGGGGCCTTTCGTTTTGAGGGGTTCTTTTTAACATTATTTTTAGATGAGTTGATTTGAAATAATTCTGGCGGTAATTAAAAAACAGGACCAGTTGTTTCATTAATTGATTTCTAATAAATGCATATATAATCTTCAAATAAAAATGCTAATATTTCTCTCTTTTCGTCAGAGGGGAATAACAAACCTGTTGGAAAATGAGGAAATTTGATGTCTATCTAAAAATGTATGTATTTTATAGGAGTGTCTTATAAAGCAATACAAATCTAGAATTAATTTTCCTCTAAGTAGACACACACACACACACACACACTCACACACACACATACACACACACACAAAGTTATACTTAGGCTCTGCTAGAGTAGCTCATTCCCCTTTCATTGCTAATGAAAAACACGGGCAAGAATCTAGATCTTGTAAGTTGCTCTTACATAGTTCTGGAAGTGAACATTTATAAGTATGTGTTTTTATTTAATTCAAGATTTCTGATCAATTTTTACTAGGGTAAGGGAGATACTGGGAGCCAGGCCCAAATGGCTGAATAATACACATTCAGTTCAGAGCAATTAAGAAATCCAAGTCAAAAGAGAAATCAGCCTGTTACTGATTTCCAAGAGACTCTGACGGTTAACCTCTCACCTGGCAAGTGTTCTCTTAAAGTGAACAAGTTAAACATTAACATGCAATCTCACCTAAACTTTTGAGGAAAACTTGGGGCAAATCTCAAATGTTGTTAAGGAATGTTCCTTGAAAAGGATCCAGGGGAGAAATTTTTCAGCTGGCTCAGAATGAAAGGCAGTGTTTGGGCTCAGGAATGTCTGTGTTTATGCCATAGCTTTGTGACGCACTATTGGTGGCATATGGGGCAAATCATTGAGCCTCATTTTATTACCCATAACATGAACATAATAGCAAATGTCTTGTAAAGAGGTAATAAAACTTAAGGGAGAGGAAATACAAAGCAGTGCCTGGCTCCAAATGGGTGCAGCGTGAATGTGGGTCTCCTTTCCTCCCTTTCACATCACGCTTCTCTTCCTTCCTCCCCACAGCAGTACCACTGTCACCTTTATGGATTCAGGAAGGCTCTTCCTCAGGGATTTCTCCAGGGTCTGCAGCATCTGGGCACCTTGCAGCGGGAACATCGTGGAGGACACCTTAGCCTAGAGAGAGAACCAAGGAGCAACCAGGAATGAGAGGAGCTAGAGGAGATCCAGAAACGAGCGTAGCAAGGTCAGTGTTAATGGCCAAGTCTTTCTCCATCATCTCCTCCCTGAAGTCCTCACCAACTCCAAGGGGAGATAAGACTGGCAGGAAGCTGAGGATCCCTTTCTGAATTTTTCATTTACTTTTCTTACCCTTTGATTAATTCTACTCACCAGTTTCACTTTAAAGTAATAAGCACATTTAAAAAAATACATACCACATCTTTTAAATTTTAGTTTCTATTAGTGATTCTCTTGGCCCTTCTAGTAACAAGCTGTGTAACCTTGGGAAAGTTACTCAACCTCTCTATTCCTTGGTTTCTTCAAAAGTAGTGGGGATAATAGCACTATCTTACTCAGATAATTTTTGTGAGGATTAAATGAGTGAATACACATGAAGTATTTAGTAAAAGTTTTGGTAGAGTAGAAATTACTAGGTAAAAAAACCCCAGCATTTTTACAAATCTGACTTACTCCATTTAATTAGAGTAACCTGAACATCACATTCTAACTAAAAAAAAAAAAAAAATGGAAAAAGTATGTGTCATTGTGTTCTATATTGGAACGGTGATATTTGGAGCTCAGGAAAGTAAGTGCTAAACTCCTCCAGCGGCTGGGACAGTTGAAGCTAGAGAATCACAAGTTCAAAAGCAGCCTCAGCAACTTAGTGAAGCCCCCAAACAACTTAGTGAGACCCTGCCTCAAAATAAAAAATAAAATGTGCTGGGGATGTGGCTCAGTGGTTAAGCATCCCTGTGTTCAATCCTTGGTGTGTATACACTCACACACACACACACACACACACCTGGCCAAGTGTGAGTTTCAAAAAACAGGAAGGGTCTTTTGCTTCTAGCCAAGATAGTACCATGGACCTGGCTATTTTCACACCTGTAACAATGACAACATCGTTTCAGAGCTACTTCTTGATGACTGACTCCAATAACTGTGTATCAGAACAAAATTTAACACAAACTCTATCAACTAATAAGTATCTGATGAAAAAAATATTGAACACGTGAAGAAACTGGTTTAGAGGAATGATCTGGGGGAACAGAAAGCAGTAGGGAGGCAAAGAAGCACAGTCAGCAATAACTTTCCTCCACAATCAGGAGAAATAAAACCTTCAGCGAAAACCTGTCTAGAGGAGATGCTTGGGACCTGGGGTCTTAAACTTTCCCCTATTGCAAAAGTCACCTGCCTCCATCCCCTTGTGATAGTCATTGCAAATGACTTTCTTACCTGAAAAAATTAAAATTAAAATAAACATTACCAGACCTAGAGCTCTTAGAACTAACAGATAAGGACATTAAGTACCTTTAATAACTTAGCTGCTTGTGTTTAAGAAGAGAAAGAAATGCATAATAATGGTGAGAAGCTAAATGAGATCTTATGGAAATAAAAATAACACTACATTTAAAATAAAAATTAGGCAGGATGTGATCAACAGTGGATTAGACCGTAAAGAAGAACAGATTGATAAGTTAAAGGCACAGCCATTGAAACTCTCCAAAAGAATACACAGGGTGGGAAAATGTGTACTGTTAAGATGTTGAGGAAATTCAACAGAGATAGAATAATAGTCTCTTCAACAAATTATGTTGATTTTTATTTTTAAACAGTCGAGATAACTTACCTGATAGACCTGAGTCCCTTTCTGACTGTCGATGTTAGAGGAAAACTGTCATTCACTTTGCTTCTTTGCCTCTCTGCTGCTTTCTGCTCCCCAGATCATTTATCTAAAATAGTCCCTATTTCACTTTGGGTCACTTATGAATTTAAGAAAGCAAAAAAAGAGCAGCCTTTAAAACACAAGATTTTCACAGAAAAGGATCATCTGTGTGGCCCAAATCGAGTGAGACAAAAATTAATTAATTAATTAAAAGCCAAGGCCACTCCGTGCTCATGCTTGAAACATGAAGTCAGCCTTATCAGCAAAAACAGCCAGACATCCTCCCAGCAGTTACCATGTGACCATGACTTCTGTACCCTGTTCCTTTCCTCCTGCTGCAGGAAAAAAAAGGGTTAATTAGATTTGCCCTGCTTTCTGACAGGATCCACACCACAGCAAAACCATGTTTCCTTGAATCCTTGCAAAGTCGCCCACCTCCAGCCACTCCTGCATGCTTGCTGTGAATGCACCACGTTTCCCCAAAAGTGTGCTCTTTTCCTCATTGTGACAGACAACAAACCCAATTTGTCAAATGACAGGTGTGCTCCCGGTGGTCTTTGATTAGAAGCTTTCAACAAATTTCTTCACCACCGAGCTCTGAGATGTTGGTGGCTACAGGCTTGCTCTCTGTTCACTTCTACTTCCCAGGCCTCAGGGACGTAACCCTCAGCACTATAACCCTCAGGACCACTCATTATGTAGAAAAGTACATGAGTATAAGATGCAAAGTATGATTTGATGTTAACTCTGTGGGATGTTGTGCAACTCTATTTCTTGAACTGTTCAGTTCGGAATCATCCTTCAAAAATGTGGACACAAACTAATAACCGAGCATCATCCTCATTAAATAGGATACACTGAAAACTGCTAAAGCCTGTCACCCTCACCGGAGCCAACAGCCCTGGGTAATGGGTAATGTCAATGTCCTTGTGTGCAAACTTCAGGATCTTTGACCCTGCCATTCCCGTATGGAAATTAATCCAAAGAAAACAATTTAGAAGAAAAAAACTGCTCTAAATAGAATTTAGAGCCCATAATAAATAAAATTCCAATGTCCAGAAGAGGGGAAGTTAATGTTAAATATGATTTAGCAGGGCAATGAAATTCTAAGGTATTAAAATAATACACACAGGCATAATATATAATACATATAGGTGTGGGAGAGTGTTAAAGTAAAATTAGAAAATTTAGGATATAAAACATTTCATGTATGACATATATAGTATTAGCACAAATTTGAAAGACAATATAGATTGTGATAGTAACATTACAGGGGGAATATTTAAAGTCTGATTTGTTTGTTGTACAATTAAAATTAACAATCTGTTTATTTCCTTTCTGACTTTAAGCTCAATCTTCTTACCAGTCACAAGGAGAAAACTGCCTACCTTACAATGTAACCATAAGGATTCAATATGGTCATGTTTGCGGTGTCTCCAATCTCTGGATATTCCATTCACCCACTTGCTTCTAGAAAGTCATCCAAATCTCTACTCGCTTATTTATTAGATCAGGGCAGAAACCTCTAAGAATTCTGTCCTTTACAGAACAAATGCCAGATATATGTTTCTCAAGTTGAAGTTACTCCTTTTCCTTGGGCATATGCTGAACATAACTCTGTATTAGCATTTTGGATTTGGTTCACTTGAAAGGAAGGAACCCCAAAAAGCAAAGAATATCTTTAAGAAACTCAAAAACATTATCATGTATACTTAAAATACACAAGATCTTATGGGATATATACCGATAGGAAGAAGGCTTACTAAAGCATACCCCATTCATGCCACATAATCACTCATCTGTCTGCATCTGACAAGAACAGCTAAAATCGATTCATTCAGCGTGACTGCCACATGCAGTACCACTTAATTGCTTTTAGCTCTCACATTGTACATCTGTATCCACACTTGTTGATACTACATGACTGCTACTTTTTGAGAGGAGTCCTTACCTGAAAAGATATCTTTACACAGTTCTTCTCAGATGTAGCTAGGATTAGACTTCCGAGAGATGAAATCTCCCTCTGATGCAGTCAGTCCAGTGGGCTCTTGAAGAGTGAGCAAGTTTGGATATGTCTCTTCCAGAAATTGCTGAGATGTAACATGGACCTTGCACTAAGCTGGCAAAGATTTCTGGATGTCAACTCTAGTGGAAAACAACATTTCCCGTCAGGGTTTCTTGTTGAAAAGTCATGCAAGATTGGGGGGGGGGGGTCTCAGGAGATGAACGGATGGTGAGGAGTCGGCGAAAGAGGGGTTGGAGAAACAACACAGACACCAAAGTGAAGGTGCTGAATCCCACTCTTTACATGTGAAGTTAATCATATATACTTTTCATTTTGGCAGGCTCACAGTACTTTGTGGTTACAAAACAGGAATCATTATTCAAAGAAACAAAGTATTACGTAGCTACAATTAGAATAGAAGAATGTCTCTTGGCTTAGGCATAAGCAAGCATTTTTCCTTTCAGTTCACATTTTGCTTTGAGCTGTTTCTGCTTAGTTAACTTTTAATAATAGTTAGAAATGTCCCAGACTATTGGCCTATACCTTGACTATTCTTTCTTAACTTACTGACTGGAACGAGTGCCACGGTTACAGCAAGTGGTTAACTTGCTATTAATTTTAATCAAACAAGAGTAAGAGCACAAACCATTGTGCACAGGAACAAGAACAAGTTGCCCAGTACTAAGCACTAATCTGTCTTCTTAACATTAATTCTTCTTCTCTAGATTTTAATTTAATTTCTCAAAAACTTCCCTGACAGGAATACAGGGAGTTTTTCATTAAACACTAACAATTTACGCTCCACAGCTGAATCATTGCATTTAGAGCAAACAGATCTATTCTTTAGAAGTAGTTGCATTAATTGGGAAAGTCATGTTTTTTCCTTCATACTTAATGATCCTATGAGAAGTCACAACTATACTTATTAAAGGAATACAGAAACAAACCAGCTCATTCCCAGAAACATACTGCGTTCTTCCAGAGGATGGATGCCTTGCGCCATCCACCTCAGTAGGGCCTTGCCATTGCCTGAGTCAGGGGAGGGGCGCAGCAGGAATGCCCCTGTCCCTCCCTTTCAATTCTCAAATCTTTGCAGCAGGAACAATGTAGTGGGAAAGTATCAGTGAGGTCTGCTTTGCAGGATTCTTCTCTGACCCTTTTTCTTACACATAGGCTGAAGAGGAAAGTACTTGTGTGGAGTTAGTAAAGCTGTTAGGGTCCTCCTTCTTTAGGATAAGCTGTACCCTCTCTCTGCCCCTTTTCAAGGCTGCTATTTAACATCCAATCATTCTGTGTGGTTCCTTCTTAGCCTGGTTGTTATAGAGAAGGAAAAAAGACTCTGTGTGTTGAAATTAGACAGGATCAAGTCGGAGCCTTATCATTTCCTCTACCATCTTCAGAAGGGAAAGGAAGGTTCATAAAAAAGATAATTTGAGTCTCAACTCCACTGTGTGAGAAAACCAAGAAGGGAATTCTGACACCAAGCAGGTCCTTGTCCTCATCAACACTTTTCTAGGATGGTCAACAGTTTCACTGTGGATGGGAGAAGAGATTCTCTGATCAGAGGAACAGGGACAGGATTCAAAATAGCTTGTATGTTCCTTCAGTCAATGGATCCGTACAGTCCACAACTGCATGGATTTTTCTCTTGTCCCCTTTTGGAGTCCTGTCTCTTCCAGAACATCAATTGACCTTCTGGTCTCCTGTGTTTGAAGTCACTATGATTATCCATTACTCTTTGGCCAAGGCCAAAGTCCACTGAATCCGTTCTGTCACCATCAACAGAGTGGACCACCCTTTGCCTGAGCAGATTCATAATTCACAAAAGCTGCCTGCAGTAGAAGAGTGTGGTCATCCTTTTCCCTAGTCCCAGAAATCAGACCCTTCCTCCTCTGTGTCCTTGTGTCCTCTGTGTCCACATTACTCAGGCAATCAGTCACTCAGAAGACAAAGAGGATATTTGCTGCCCTTGAAACTTGCACTCCTCTCTCAATCTTTTCCAGTTGTTGCCCTCCGCTGTAAAAACAACAACAAAAAGCAAACAAACAAAAAACACATGTTAGCCAGGTGCAGTGACACAAGCTTGTAATTGCAGCAACTCTGGAGACTGAAGCAGGAAGATCACAAGTTCAAGGCCAGCTTCAGCAAATTAGCAAGACCTTGTCTCAAAATAAAAAAGGGCTGAGGTGCTCAGTGGTTAAGTGCCCCTGAGTTCAATGTCTGATACAAGCCGTTGCAAAAAAGGATGTGTTCTGTTAAGAATCTTTCCTTCTTTTCTTTAATTCTGTGGTTATTATACTTGCTGTGTTAATATGTGATCATAGACACAAATCTTGTCACACTGTTTGGGATAGGATACAAGGGAAAAGCCTCAGCATTGACTTTAACTGTTTTTTGCTGGAGTCTGAGTGAGGTGCTGGCACTGTTGGCAGAAGCACCCTAGCAAGTGGCTCATAGTGAGGATGAGATTTCAAATTAACAGGGTTAAGGTCTTGATACTTACTTAGGGTGCCTTGGGCCAATTATTTCATCATTCATTAGCTCCATTTCTGAATCAATAAAGGAAAGTAAATAATAGTGCAGTCGTGTGTCACTTAAAGATGGGATAAAGATAATGGACGTTCAGACACATGGACTTAGATGTTCAGGGAACTAGAAATCTTCATCCTTGATTGGCACAGAAGAGCCAAATCCCTGCAAATACAGAGAAGCCAGGGGTTTGACAGGAGAGTAATCAGCGTTAATGGAGCTTCAGGGTTTTTATCTCTGGGTTTTGACATGACAAATGTTCTCAGTTACATCTAAGAATATCTCTTCTTCCAGCTTAAGAACAATGTTACTTCTTTTACATATTGCTTATAAAAGATGCATTGTTGATTAAGGCTGGTGTCATATACCATTGCCTTGGTCCATTTGAGTTACTCTAATAAAATTACATGAACTGGATATTTTCAATAACAAGCATTTATTTCTCATAGTTTGGGTGACTAGAAGTCTAAGATCAAACAGCTGGCAGATTTGGTGTCTCAGGAGGGCCCACTCCCTGGTTCACAGACATTCATTTTCCTGTTGTTTCTATATATGGCAGAGAGAAGGAGAGAGCTCTCTGGGGCCTTTGAAGACACTAATCACATTCAGGAGGGCTCTACCCTCATGACTAATTATCCCTCTCCACCCTGCTCTCTCCTAACACCATCACATTTGGGGTTAGGATTTCAACATATGGATTTTAGACAATAAAATTTAGCCCACCCTGTTTTCTTCTGTCCCTAAAATGCTGAATTTCTTTTTATTCTGTTAGGTATTATTCGTGGTTTCAAAGGTTCGAATTTCTTTGTTATAAGACTAACAGTATCTCTAAAACTGAAAACAGAGAAAAGGAAGCATTTTGAGGTAGAACAGTTTCAGATGATTAGATTGAGTTCCAGTGCTTACAGAAATAGAACTCTAGCAACCCTATCTTAGGGGTTAACCTATAGCTGTCGTTTTTACCAGAAAATGGCAAGTTTTTACTAGAATATAGGGAATTTTTACTAGCAGACACTTGATCAGAGCTCCTTTTAGAAGCATCAGTTGCAGGTGACTAGCTAATAGGGTAACACTGTGACTTCCTGAAGGAGAGGAATGAGGGGCCATGAGAGCTAAAGACACTGGACCATGGGTCCAAGGGTCGGGCTTTTTGGAGGCTGCTAAAGGAATCAGTTTGTTTTGCCTGAGTCCAAACACTGATAGGAGAGGAATCCAGATTGTAAGCCGCTGAGATCAAAGGTGATGGTTTGGACATTCACTGGCAATAGTCCTTCTCCTTGTCTTAACACAGTGAGCAGCAAAATCCCTGAATTCCTATCTTCTCTCTACTAAGGGAAGATTTGAAGCACCCATTCAACATCCTGCTTTCCATGGGGCTGCCCCAGGGACGGGCTTCTGTATCACCTGTGCTAGTGGGATTGGCATACTCTAAGTACCTGGGAAGCTGCTGAGAACAAATATGTCTGAAATACCACACATTCACCTACAGGAGCCCCTCCTTCTACATCAGCATGACATATTTGGGAAAACTCCCAGCCTCAGCTATTCCCTAGGAAAGAATAATGAGACACAGGTCCAATTCAGATGTTCTGAAGTGTCTGCCTGAGACACTGGATTCTGCCTTGTTTGTCCTGGATCCTGGGTAGGACCCAGCATGTTCTATACCTGGGAGCCACTGACCAAAAGAGCTGGTCACTGTGCTGCGGCTCAGAGCACCAACAGCAGACAGATATCAGAGAAGGCCAGAGATTGCAAACTCTGAGGAAAACCGACACATTCTCCTAACTAGGAATTTATATGAATAAGCACAAAGAAAATACACAGAAAAGGTTTGGCTGCTCAGCCCCTCACCGCCACCCCCGCCCCCCCAATTCTCTAGTCAGGGTGATTGACAAAGGTTTTCTTCTGCAAGAAGCCTGGGCATAAAAACTGAGAGAAGTGGCTGTTTTTTTTTTTTCAAATGCATAGACATAAACACAAAGTGTCAACAAATATAAAGTAATAAAATATAAAGCAACAGGAAATGGGACCAAAAAAAAAAACTCTCTAGAACTGATTCTGACAAAATGGAGGTATATGTGTTGTCTGACAAAGAATCCAAAAATAACTGCCTGTTAGTCAGATTTTCATCATTCTGAAAAAAATACCCGAGAAAATCAACTTGAAGTTTTATTTTGGCTTGCAATTTTAGAAGTTTCAGTTCAAGGGGGCTTAGCCCCATCAGTTATGAGGCAGAACCTCATGGTGGCGAGCACAAGGCAGAGCAGAGCTGGTCATCTCATGACAGCCAGGAAGAAGAGAGAGAAAGAGCCTCGGGACAAAATACATCCTTCAAAGGTAGGCTTTGATGGGTCCTGTGACCCATCTCATTCAACAAGGCTGCCTCCTAAAGTTTAGCACCACCACTTCTCAATAGCACCACCACCTGGGGACTAACCCATCAGCACATGAGCCTTTAGGGACAGTCCAGATCCAGACTGTAACACCACCATAAAAATGCTCAATGAAATAAGAGAAATGCATGAACAAAATAGATATATCAA